GAAATCAAAAATTCTTTCCTTTTTACTGTTTCATGTCATTTCTCTATCGTTTCTTTTTGGTACTACGAAGAAGAAATAATGAAGTCAGAAAAGATTAGCCTTCCACAAGGTGTTCAATAGCTTACTCAAGGGAAATTTCCAACTTATTCCTTTCTTTTTTTCTTTTTTTTTAAATCTTATTCTTTTCGATTTTTCCTTTTTAACTCTAGTTTTCCACGAACCACATCCTACGGATATCAAAACTACTCCTAAGTATTATATCTTGATAATATTTATATGTGTTACTCTTGTTTGAGTGTATATGTGTAATCCTCAACGTAGGGTGATAGGCTGATAGCCAATTTTAAGTGTGATCCCTTCTATATTAATTGGAGAGTGATTTGCTTATATGTTTTCACCAAAATCACTCTTCCAATTTAATTGTGACATGATATTCTAACCCATTAATCCAACAAAATTAACCCAACTTATTAAGAAAATCGGTCAATCCCTTATTAGCTCAGTTATCCAACACAATTAAACATAATCTTCACTATATATAAGGGATTACGACCATAATTTTTATGATATCAATTCAATTAGCCCAAACTCATTAGGAAAATCAGTCAACATCAATTATTAGCCCAACTATCCAACACAATCAAACATAATCTTCACTATATATAAGGGATTACGACCATAATTTTTATGATATCAATTCAATTAGCCCAAACTCATTAGGAAAATCAGTCAACATCAATTATTAGCCCAACTATCCAACACAATCAAACATAATCTTCACTATATAAGGGATCACGGCCAAATTTTTTTTGATATCAATTCAATTGACTCTTAAACTGTTTTTTCGATTTTCTTGATTTTTTAATTTTCTTAAAAATGGAATTTCTATCAAAAGTAAAAAGGAATTTTTTCGGTTTGATCAAATGTCTTTTTTATATTATTTTTTGTAGTTTTGGCTTTTTTTTAATATATATAGGATATCATTTCAGATATATTCAACCCAAACA